AATAATTATAAGTAATTTTGTAAACTACATGTATGTTATTAAATTTATGCAGTACTTTTGAAATATTAACGACATTTTTAACAAAACTAAACATACAATATAATTTTAAATTGTACTTTTTTATAAAATAATATAAATAATAGCAATAATTAACATAAAGTCACATTTCTTTAGGTCCCAAATAATCACAAAATCATTTTGATGACGATAATTCTTCTGATTCACTTGAAATTTTTTTATTCTTCTCCTTCTTTTTTTCAATTAAAGCTTTTTTACTAGCTTGTAACTCTTTTTTATTTTTTTAATTGTTTAGCAATTTTTTCTTCTAATAATTCGTTCTTTGATATAACCGTTCACTAAAAAAATTACAACAAAATAAAATTTAATAATCAAAAAAGATTTTAAGTATTATTTTAATTATAAATATACATTTTATAATGATTATTTTTATATTTACAAAATATTTAATGACTAAAGTACTTTAAACACTTGACAGATTTAATTTTGAGGTTGAGAAGTTAGTATTATAAATATACGGTCATTAATTGGATTGTGATAAAATCAGAGGGTCTAATAAATGACCGAATGAATTTTTTACTGGGTAAAGGGCTTCGGACGGATCCAATAGTTGACCGGTCTTATCTTAAAATAATATTAAAACTTACAATTTAACTTTATTTTTTCAAAAAAGTTGGAATCTGATCTTTAATTATCATAATAAAACTAAAATATTTTATATTATGCCGATAAATATCACTAAATTAATGATGAAATGCACTCAATCTCCAATTGTACGCTAGTTATTTTTGACCGCTTTATGGCTGGTTGCGTTGTAAACAAACTCAGAATATTTTTTTAAAGCTATAATCACTGCGCAATTAATTGGGTAATTTTTTATTATGATGATTAAATGCCATATTTTTTTATTTTAATACTTTAAGAAAAAAAAAACCCTTGTAAAATATTAATTAATTAACTTTTTTATGCATCGGTTAACTAATTGGTGACCGGTCAACAACTGGTGCATTTATCCTATATAATTTTTTGATATCTTCAATATTTAACCGAGAATTCTAATTTAAACTTTTTAAACCTGTGGTGTAATCAAAAACTTATAGAATTTAATTTTAGACTGAAATTATGGCTACATGATACACTGATAGAAAAAATGACTTGATTCAGGAAACATTTTTTCTTCAAAATTCCATTCTTGTTTTAAGTAGTTCGATTCTTTTAAGAATTTCTTGAAGTAAGACAACTAGTTCTCTTCAAAATAATTTTCTTGGACCAAGAATATTTTTCTTGAATGAGAATAGTTTTTTTATCAGTGTAAGAGATACGAAAAAATTGATTAGGACCTTTTTGATAGAGTCTTAAATTTCCTACAAAAAAGGTTTTAAGTAATGTTTTCGTATCTTCAATACAAAGCCCATAATTTGAATTTTAATTTTAAGAAAGTTAATAGTAATTTTTTCGAAAAATTAACTACTCTCTTTTCATGAATAAAATAATTAGATAAACAACCATCAGCTGATAAAAAGCAATTAGCTGTCATGAGACGAATAAGAGAATAATTTGAAGGTTCGTTCTTTTTATCTCAGTATCGTACAGACGAGAACGGGTACAAGTAAATGCAATCAAACTGTCGATTCCACGAGTACCCTATAGAGCAGCAGTTGAACTTTAACATCAGACATCACATTCTTTTTTATATACCCAGTCAAGTTACAACCCTTCTATTTCTTCTTATTTGTGTTCTCGTTTGATCCGGTTTTCTTTAAAATAGATATAGAGAAAGGAAAAAGGTTAAACTGATTCCTAAGTCTCTGGATCCCTTTCATCAGCTTGAGAAGGATCACTCAGTATTCAAATCAAGTTTCGCAGTCGGAAGACGTTCTGCAGGTACTCAAAACCCTAAAGAGAAACTAGAGCACAAACTAAGTCAATGAGTCAAACGATTTCAATTGAAAGTACGTCTAAACACGTTTATGCTTTATGCTCACGTCTTCACTTTTATTATGATGTATAAACTAATATTTCCACAAGAAAAGCTTTATGCGATTATTCTATCAAGGAAGTTCCTTACTTGCTCATCTAATAACAATCATTTAAATAATTATTCACAAATTCAATAGCACAAAATATTGAAGAGTACCATTCTATTTTACTATAATAAAATTAATAATCATTTTTAACTATTTACTGTGACTTAATAATAAATCTTATTATTCCCCTAATTGTGTTTTAATTGTCATAGTTTTTATTAACGGTGAAATATATTTATTCAATTTATGGCTTTTGTAATTAAAGAATGCGCGAGGATTTTATTCATTTCAGAAGTTTAGATTTTTTTAGGTAGTTTCAACTATTTTATTTCAGTCATTTCGCTCTGTCGCGTGCCGTTAAAAGCGATATTTTTTATTTATATTTGATTTGTTTGATAAAGAAATTTGGAAATTATTATTTTAGTCACAATAAAATATACACGGATCAAAATTGTAATGTCTAATGATTACTTCAGATGTACACTGTTTATTTTGGCATTTCAACGATGTACCTGATGTACGTAAACGTATTAGTAGATTTCATAGAAATTTAACTATTGTATATCTGAAAGCTTATTCAATAAGCTTAAATTTGCATACTTATTTATTTTTTTAAATTAAGTAGTTTAGGAATGACTTAAAATTTGAACTCTTCGAAATCCTAAAAAATTGACACTTTTACTGATTCTTTGCGAAATAACTATTGAATGCGCTAACATAAAATTTTTGTAAATTGCATCTGAAAGCTTATTAAATAAACTTTAAATTGCATACCTCATCATCAGCCCGTGTAAAAAAAAATCGTCTTAAAATTGTCTTAAAATTGTCGTTCGTTTAAGATCTTAAACGTGACACAAACTAAGACTATTTTAAGACTCTTTTAATAAGACGCCAAAAGAAAAATTCCGAGAGCAGATTTTTGAAAATTTTGTTCTCGAATTTGTTGTGAAAATTAATTTTTAGATGATTTTACGACTTTCTAACCGCAATATTTTTGAGTAAGATGTTTTTAAATTGAATTTAAAATTGTTAAAAAATTATTATCTGACAATTTTAAGACTTTTTTAAGACGTTCCGTTTTAATACTCCGGGGCTCTGTCGCTGTTAACCCATCTTAAAATAGTCTAAATTTTTTGTTAAGATTTTTTTAAGACTAATTTAAGATAATTTTGAGACAATTTAAAGACGCTCCATAATAATTTTCCGGAGCTGCCACTGTGATGTTATCTGAAAATAGCCTAAAAATTTTTTTAATATTTTTTTTTTCAGATTTCTTTAAGACTATTTTAAGATTTTTCAAGACTATATAAAAATTATTTTAAAACTTAAATCTTAAAATAGTCTTAGAAAAATTTTTAAATCGTCTTGAAAAAATCTTAAAATAGTCTTAAAAAAATCAAAATAATTATTAAAAAATCTCGGAATTTTTTTTTTTTGGCATCTTAAAAGAATCTTAAAATAGTCTTAGTTTGTGTCACGTTTAAGATCTTAAACGAACGACAATTTTAAGACAATTTTAAGACGATTTTTTTTACACGGGAGTCTATGCCAAAAATTACTTACTCTCTCTCTATCTATTAATGGAATTTTACTCTTGCATTCGTTTTAGAAATTATTACTTTAGTAGTTGTTGAATTCACTATGAAATCTACTTCCATTTCGGCTGCCGAATGGTCTTTTTTAATTCAGTATGAAATCTACTTCCATTTTAGCTGCCTAATGGCCTCTTTTTTTTCTTTCACATATCCGGTAAATTTTACTGACAAACTTTAAAAAGTATTGCTGTAACTAATAAATGGTTAAGTTGCGCCCTCGATTATAATACACTCCAACAATTTTTCTCAGTAATTTAACAGCAAATTTCCTTCCGTACACGATAAATGAAAATAGAATACGCTGCATCGTCACTTCTGTGATTGCAAAGCTGTTTTCTTCTTTACCCATTAAAGTCAATGCTAACTTTATTGTAGATCGAAGTTCCTACAGAGATTATCTTTATTAGCTTAATTATTTGTTTAATTACTCATATACTTCAGGGTCTACTTAATTATTTCCAAGTACTGCAAGTACTTGAGTAATTAAATTACTATGCTTAGAGATTCAGAGTTTGAAGTTCTGATGCAAGATTAATTAATTGAAAAATATATTAACAATTTATTTATAAATAATTGTACAAATTTATCAGCTTAGAGATTAATAATTATTTGCATATTAGAACTGAATAGTGCGAGTAATGCTTTACGGTTTACATAATCGATTAATTCGACTTAATCCCCGTAATTGTTTAATCCTATAAGTAATTAGTATTATACTATTCTAATAATTTAGCGGCTTGCATTGATGTAAATTAAATTAACAACAGCCATAAACGATTTAATGTTCTATTAAAATTTTTTTTAATTCCCAATTAAAAAAAAAAAATATTATTTCACATTAAGAAAAAAATTATTTTGAAAAAAATAAACATTTTTGTGAAAAAAGAAATGCTAATTTTTTTTTTAATATTTTTTCGCTCAGTGTATGTCAATAATAGTATTGAAAGTAAAAAAATAAATTTATAAAGCAATAAATTTGTACCAAGTGATCTTTTATGATGAACTTACAAATAACTTTTGATCTCAGATGATTATTATACATTAAAAATTTGAACTTTAGAGGTTTGAACTTTAATAATTCAAACTTTAGTCAGCGTGAACTTTCGATAATTTGAAATTTTATTAACATTATTACGAAGCGCATCTTAAATAAAACATTTCTTCACATTCATCTTTGTTGTTATATTTACGACTAAAAAATAAAAGTATCAATTTGCAAAATTTTGTGGAATATGTTAACATTGTTTAAATAATAATGAAAACTTTTTATAATTTCAGATACTGGTCGGTAACAAACGTCGACTATATCCACCAAAGAACAGGCAAACGAATCGGAATAATGATCGCGGTGATTTGGCTGGTGGCATTTCTCGTTTGCATAGCGCCTCTTCTTGGATGGAAGGACCCCCACTGGTACAAAAGAGTCGAGGTCGACAAGACCTGTCTCGTCAGTCAAGATATCGGTTATCAGGTAAAATCAGGCTATCTTTATTCAATCTTTACCAATCGTAAAAAGTTTGAGAAATCTAAAAGTGCACGCCTCATAACGCTCACTCATGTTTAAAGAAAAAAGTAAATTGTGTAATTGATTAAAAAAAAATAATAATTTTTTTTTTAATATCGGCGCCCATTGTTCTTGTCATATGCGCACGCAGTCTAAAAAAATTTATAGTTTGATTAAATGGTGCCATAATTTTTACATGAGAAAAATAAGAAAGATTCGTTTGTTTTTGTATGTGTGTATCGTAGTGAATTCTAATAAAAATCTAATCTAAAAAAAAATACGTAAAGTAGGCTATTGATATGAAATACCGCACCAGTTCATCGAATTTTTAAACTAATAAAAAAAGCCCGGTCTTGACATATCAATTTGTTCGGGAGTAATCGTTAGTCCATACAAAATGAGGTGACATCAGGACGTCCACGTAAAATTTTTTTCGAAACGATTTTAAACTTCCCGCTAAGGAAATTGAAAATTTTCAAAAATCGGGAAGTTATTGGTTTTACCCCGTTTTTCGAAAATCGAGTTCTCATCAGATCTCGACGTTTTGAGGTTCTAGGAAGCTTCCCTGAATGTTTTCGCGATGATGTCAGTATATCTATGTATGTGTATGTATGTATGTGACCCTTTTATAACTTTTGAACGGCTTGACCGATTTCATCGCGGTTGGTGCCATTCGAAAAGGCTTGCCCAAACTTAAAATTTGAATACACTTTGGACCGATTCGGACCGGTAGATTTTGAGAAATCTCAAAAAAACCATAAAAAAAATGTTTTGAAATGTGGTTTTTTTGGAATTACTTTTAAACGGCTTTACCGATCGATTCCGAAAACTAATCAGCTCTTAACATCAAAAAACCACGTCGATCACCGCCAGCCCGGTCAAAATAGGATAATTCGTTCGTGAGTTATCGTTGTCGAAAGAGAACCGAAAAAAGTGTTTTTTTGGAATTACTTCAAAATTCCTCGTTCGATCGATTTAAACTTAAAAATCCGTTATGAGGTTTCAAAAACTGCGTCGAATGCCACCAACCGCGTAAAAATCGGTTCTTTCATTCAAAAGTTATTGCAGTTTGAAAATTCCAAAAATAATGTTTAACCCTTTAGAGTCTGACCTTGAAACCCCACTCTTGGGTCTTACTACGGATTTGCGCTCTCCCCACTACTCTCACGCGGAGACGTTTCAAGGTCCTCTGACTCTAAAGGGTTAATCAAGCTTCTATCGGTTATTTTAACACAGAAATTGTACGAAAAGTATATTTTTGAGCTCAAAGAGCTCAAAAACTTTATAAGTGCAATTTTGAGCGCTTAAGTATGTGGAATTAGGGGGAAGCTGCAGAGATGGCCTTTAGGGTCAACCATTTTTCTAATTTTTTTTTAATTTTTGTAAAAATGTAAACTTTTTTTTTTCAATTTCATTTGACTCTATTTAGAACTCTCGAAAATTACCCAGTTTTTTTATTTTTATTATTTTTAAAATTATTTTGTAAGATTCAGATGAAAAAAAATTCACTCTTTTAAAAAATGATTATGATTATTAAATATATTTAAAACTTTTGAAATTCCGCCCTATAATAGCTTGATACCCATATTGAATATTTTAGTGTCTAATTCTGTGCCAATTAATGAAAAAAAAGCGATTTGGATTAACTTCCGATTAATTAACATCACAATGGCGTTATATTAGTCCAGTACATCTGCACCAGAGAGCTTTTCCAATACTTTATAAAGCGGGCTTAAAAAATTTCCGAGCTTACAAAAGTTTTGTTACCGAAAAACCATGATCACTATTTCAATGAAAATTTTATTTTTATTTTTTTTTTATCGTTCTATCTTTTGTATGCAAATATTTAGCCGGTGCTTTTTATTTTCAATTCAACGATGCTCGGAACAGTATACACATAAAGTAAAATAAAATAAAACAATTCTATAAATCTAAATTCATGAATTAAAAAGATATTAAATTTATCGGAGGTTTAAGCGTTCGATAATTGGCTAAAAATTAAACATGATTTTTATTTTTATCTCCTACAGATGTACTTTTAATTTTATTTTAATCGGTAGTAATTGCCTCAATAAAAATTTGCACTAGATTGGATAATTGGCGATAATTGTCGCTGAACTTTTTTAGCAGTGACCCTTTAAAAAAAAAAAAAAAAAAAAAAAAAAAAAAAAAAAAAAGCGATAATAGGGAGATAAAAATAATATATGTACGTTTGTATGTTGACAGATATTCGCAACAGTATCATCGTTTTATCTTCCACTTTTGGTCATCCTCATCCTATACTGGAGGATACTCCAGACGGCGCGAAAGCGCATTCGCAGAAGAGTCGGGCAACCGATCAATGCCCAAGGTACTCTCTAATATTCGATATACATGTGTATATTCATAAATATGTACATAGATATTTGTCTGGTAAACATTTTGAAAGGTTAAGAGGGTAAAAAGTTTGAATCTTTTCAGGCGCGACCAAGACGATGGAGTTCAAGACTATGTCGATGGACACCGGTCACGCAGTCGGAAATGCATTGGCACAGGCCCAGGTATCCGGTGGAATTGCGGCCGCTGTTGTAACTGTTATCGGGAGACCACTCCCCACGATTTCCGGTGAGTTTGATCCGCTAATTGAGCCTTTTATCTCATTCTACAGGTTATGGACCCAGTATCCAGCAGACTAATAAGTTGATCTTGATATTCTGGGCTAAATATTAAAAATACGAAAAAATTATAAGATACCTTTTTTGTAGGAAATTTAATTCGATATAAAAAAAAGAAAAGGCCATTCGGCATCCGCCAAGATGGAAGGTAGATTTCATATAACCCATGATTTTAGTAAAAATATTATAAATAATTATTATCCCTCAAGTTTATGAGAAAAGTATATGGCTTCAGTTATTGATACAATATTAAAAATTATAAATAATAGATCATTTTAACTTTCCGATTCAGAGACTTTTAACTTGAGTGAAGAATTATTTGAGTTATCATATCCACAAACCGCGTTATATATAATGTGCTTGTTTGAAACTGATTTAGATGACATTCAGCTTCTTACATTTTTGTTGTAATTATTAAAAAGTAAATTAATTATAAGTGAAACTAAAGAGGAATTTATAAGCTTTAAAATGAGATGCAGAAAAATGATCTATAATTTTTCAATGAAAGTAAAGTCACCAAATTTACACTTTTTACATTTTCAAAAATTTCAAATGGCTGCCGTATCTAAACAAATTGATGGATTTAGCTTATTTTTGAACTCATTCAAGTTAATTATCTGTAGAATAAGTCTACCAAGTCTCATGAAGATTTTATAGAATTGTATTTTTAGATCTAGTTTGGAAATTAAAATTTTAGATTTCAACACCCACCCTCGCAGTTCCTATCGGAAGTAGAATTTATTGAAACCAATTTTGAGATAATATCTACATGAGAAATAAAAGATTCCTGCCAAATTTAGCGTTTTTAGAAGCTATATTTTGGAAATTAAGATTTTTTATTGTTAACACTCACCCCCGCGATCCTTATTGGAGGTGATTCGTTGTAAAATCCGCTCTTAGATCATTTCCATATCACATATTGTAGACTCCTACTAAATTTGAAGTCTATAGGAGCTATAGTTTGAAAATAAAAAATTTTCATTGTTAATACCTACCCACGCAACCTCCTGTAAGGGTGAGATATCGTAAAATTCATTCGTAGAATATTTCTACATCTCTTACACACAGTAAAAAATATTGTGTTAAATACCGTCAACACAAAATTAGTGTTAAAATTCAACACACTTTTGTGTTAAAATGACACAAGCTTTGTGTTGAAACAACACAAATTTAACTTAACACTAATTTTGTGTTGACGGTATTTAACACAGAAATTGTGTTGATTTTACACAATATTTTTTACTGTGCAGAAGATTTCTACCAAATTTGGAATCGATAGGAGCTGTAGTTTAAAAACGGGAATTTTTCATTGTTAACTCCCCTGCAAATCCCTTTGGGGGATAGAATTTCTGAAAATTCGTTCTTAGCTGACCTTTACATGGAAAAAGTACTATTCCTACCAAATTTCAAGTTTCTAGGTCCGATAGTTCCCGAGATATCGTGATGAGTGACTATATAGATAGAAATCTCTTTTAATAACATAGATAAACTTTCAAACCAATGTGATTTTAAAGCCTTACTCGACTAACTACACTGTTAAAAATTTCTATTGTAATTTTACAGGAAATGTATTGGAAGCTAATAGGCCAAACATTTATTTAAAATTACAATCGGGTATAGTAAAATTACAAAACATATACAGCTCAGTGAGGTTACTAATTTTACAAAACGGTTTTGTAATTTTACAAATATTTTTAGATTAGCTAAGTTTATAAAATTACAATACTTTCCTTGAATTTTACTTGAATTGAAATAATAAAAAAGAAAGATTTGATTTAATATCTGTTATCATTTTATTGTTATGAAGCGCTGACTAGATTTTGTATCTCAGGTAGACCTAATTTGTTCAACTCAGATGATTTAAAGTGAAAATAATATATACCCTAACTAAGAATCGAACGCGAGCCGCGCGCTTGCCAGACCGATACCTAACGCCCTACGCCGTACGACCGATAGGTGATTCAACATCTTATTATTCTTATAAGCTAATTCTATGTGGTGATTAAGCATTACGGCTTATTATTTATAATTTACATTAATTGTGTTATTTTATGCTGTTTATTGATGGAAAAGTCTAACATATACTCATTCAAATATATTGATTTCGAAATGATCGTTTGAACATAATATTAAAATTTATAAAAGATAAATTATGCCTCGAATTTATTATTTCAAATAAACAACCATAGACTAAAAATTAGTGAAAATAAATATGAAGGACATTGTTGTTTTTTTATACATCAGTCTCATTTTTGTAAAACTGAAAAGTATTATTTTTAAAATTGGAAAAAAGTGAAGTAGAATTACAATTCGTGTAATATAAATAAAATTTTCTGGTAACATTACATTGCACTGTGTAATTTTATAATAAAAATTGTAAAAATAAAAGAAAGCTTTTTAAATTTTTTATGTGATTATTGTAATATAAATTACAATATTTTTTTATGATTTTACATACAATTATGCCGAATCAGATTACAAATAATGTTTGCAAAATTAAAAAGCTTTTTCTTGAAAATTGACGAACAGTTCTGTAATATTACAATGCGTGTTGGGTTTATATACAAGAAGATTGTAAAATTACAATACATCTTAGTAGATTTCCTGATAGGTGTTGGAAAATTACATGAGTTGTATTTTATTTCGCATTGCTATACTACACTGATTTGTAATTTTACATATCATTTGTTTTGTAATATGATTGTAATTTTACAAAAATTTTTAACAGTGTAATTAATATAATAACGAAATTCAATGTGAATTTTGACACAAGGGCCAATGCAATAGATAGATTTTATGAAATCTACTTAAAAGGTCCTTATCAATTTTTCCATATCTTTCACCCCCTAGCCAGAATTTTAAATTAAAACCCCACTAAAAATTATACTAAAAAATCTTTAATCAAAAAACTTGTCATTGAATTTTTCAAATTTTAAAATCAAAATTTTGGGATAAATATTAGAGATACATAAAAATGATAAAAAAAAATTTTTGTCAACAATTTAACTCTCTAAAAAAATGGTACTTATCAGTTTGCCCTTATCTCTTACCTATTTAAAATATTTAAATTAATCAAAATGATTTTGAAAATTTGAGTTCTAAATTCTTTAAAAGTAACTAAAAATTCCATCGTTATTTACATGCAATATTTATTTACGCAAATGATTTAAAAATATTTGTTTATAGCCCTATTCCGTTTACAATTCATTGCCCCCATATATTTTTTATACTTCCAATTCAGTCCGCGTTCAAGCTTTCAGTAAAAGAATAAATATTCCATTTATTTGTTACATCAACACATAAATATTTTTAAAACATTTATATATGAATATTCTTCACCAGCGGATAGGATATTCCGTATCGAAATAGTATAAATATACGGAATAACATATCCGTATCGGGTTGAGCGTGGCGAGCAGTGACATTCGAATGTCAGCAAACATACCACTAATACTCTGCATATTGCAATATTTTTCATCCATACATATACATTAATATACATATAGATATATACACCCGACATGTTGCGGTGATCTATTATTCATGTCCATGATTCGTCGCTGCGAGGAACTCTGCTCAAGATCGAGATTGGAATCTTAATTTGTCCTCAATGAATGTCTTTGATCTGAAACAAACTTTAATCTGTATCAAATTAATGTTTAATGTTCAATTTATTTATATAAAAAAATTTTTTTTACAGAGACTACAACAACAACAACGGCATTCACTACAGTAAGCTCAAACAATACATCACCTGAAAAAACATCATATCATAATGGTCTAGAGCCAGAGCCATCAACCATGGATGGGTTACCAGCAAAACCTGCAGTGGTTATTCGTAAAAAAAAAAAAGCCGCTGAATCTAAACGCGAACGTAAAGCCGCTAAAACGCTATCCATTATTACTGGGGCTTTTATTATTTGTTGGGCGCCATTTTTTGTGATAGCAATACTGTTGCCCGTTTGTCAATCCTGCAACATCAACGTTTATCTCATTGCATTTTTTCAATGGCTCGGGTATGTATTATTGTTATTATTAATATTATATTTTGTAAAATTGTTTTTGAAAAATGAAAAAATAGTTTAGTTATTGAAATTTTGAATCTTTAAGGAGATCCACGCAAAAAATTAAACACTTAAGTTTCTATTCAATTGTATCTAATTATATATAATTGTATAAAATTTTATAAAGTTGTGAAGGCGAATCACATAAAATTTGATATAATTTTATGCAATTGTGTCTAATTAGATATAATTCTATTCAATTGTATCTAATTATATATAATTGTATAAAATTTTATAAAGTTGTGAAGGCAAATAACATAAAATTTTATATAATTTTATGCAATTGTGTCTAATTAGATATAATTCTATTCAATTGTATCTAATTATATATAATTGTATAAAATTTTATAAAGTTGTGAAGGCAAATAACATAAAATTTTATATAATTTTATGCAATTGTGTCTAATTAGATATAATTCTATTCAATTGTATCTAATTATATATAATTGTATAAAATTTTATAAAGTTGTGAAGGCAAATAACATAAAATTTTATATAATTTTATGCAATTGTGTCTAATTAGATATAATTCTATTCAATTGTATCTAATTATATATAATTGTATAAAATTTTATAAAGTTGTGAAGGCAAATAACATAAAATTTTATATAATTTTATGCAATTGTGTCTAATTAGATATAATTCTATTCAATTGTATCTAATTATATATAATTTTATATAATTCTTCTTCATGATTTGGAATAATTTTATATAATTGGATATAATTATATAGAATTATATATAAATTATATCCAATTATATATAGGCGATATACAATTATATATAATCGTATCTAATTATATAAAATCTTTTTTACTCGGGTTTAAAAAAAAATTTCTTGATATAATTAAAATATTTCGTATGAATTTTTATAGAAATTCTAGATTTTTATTATTAAAAAAATTTATGAAAAATTAATTAACAGGTATAATTTCTTTAATTTTTGGTGTAATTATTCGATTTTATAAATTAAAAAATATTTCTAATTCAAAAAATTAAAATATTGACATTTTTTCTAATTATTGTATTTTTTATGTAGAAGTATTAAAAAAATAATTTTATTTTATCAAGATAGTTTTTACATTTTTTGAGTTTTTAAGAAGATCCACGCGAAGTAGTCAAAATTTTTAAAATTTCCTGAAAATTTGTAAATTCAATCTACGTATCCTAATAATTAATATAAAAATAAAATAAAAAAACAGTAGGTTTCCGGGATATTTAATGAAATAATTAGGTTTGAAAGGTGTAATTTTTAACTTTATCAATTAATTTAAAAATTAATTTTAAGATGCATAACAAAAGTATTCTACACATTATTTTTTTATAGACATTCTTTACACTAGGAGGGTACTTGGATCTCCTTAAATCCTAATTCAAAATTCTAGGTCAACTATTGAAAATATAGAAAATTTATATCAGATTTTCTTTTATAGAAAATTTTATTGTCTACAAATAAGTTTTTTATCAATTTTGCTCTATCTCACTTCCTATGGTCAAAATTTTGATTTTAAATCAATAAGAACGTTATAGAATTTACCCGTAGTTTTCAAAAGTTTAAAGTGCTAGTTTTGGCTAAAGTATTGAAGATACAAAAAAATTATAAGAGACTTTTTTTATAGAAAATTTTATTATCTACTAAAAAGATCTTGGTCAATTTTTCCCTACATTTCTTCTTTTTGTCAAAATTTGAATTTAAAGAAAAAAATGAAGTTATAAAAATTATCCGTAGTTTTTACAAGTTTAAGGTAGTTGTGGTTGAGGCATACCGTCAGAAAATTCTAAATTTTTGTATACTTATCAAGGATATGATGATACAATTACCCTTAAAATTTGAAGTCCATTAACCCCCTATAACCCGAGATTTCAATTAAAAATTGGATATTTAACATTGATTGCATACGCTCTCTGCAGTTCTGTATCAGTTTCTTAGTTATAATTGAAGATACCAAGAAAAAAATCAGAAATCTTCTTTTATAGAGGATTAAATTCTACAAGAAAAATATTTATCAATTTTAGTACTCAAATTTTTATCGTATTTTTTTCTTAACCACCTTCCAATACATTTTTAAAGCCGTTAGTAAACTTTAATATTTATTTCTTTCTAAAGACTGGTTTTTAATACTTTTAGATTATCTAAAAATCCAAAAGTATTGAAAACCAGTCTTTAGAAAGGAATAAATATTAAAGTATACTATCGGCTTTAAAAAATGTATTAAATTATTATAGTTATTTTATTTTTTTTGTATTAATTTTCGGTGCTAATGATTGGTGATGATAAAATTTATTTTTTAAATTATGTCAGCCCAGTTTGTTTCAATCTGTTTTTTATTAATATTTCGTTCAATACCATGATTGAACATCAGACTCTATAATACATAATTAAAATTTCAATTTAACATTTTGTATTATTTTATGACAACAATTATATTTTAAATTAATTTTACAAATAATTATTTACTGGGCTGCCGTTATTAAAAAAAAAAAAAAAAAAAAAAAACAATTATTATTATTATTATTATTATCTTGATAATGTTTCTAAATAATGAAATAACCAAATTATGTTCCAGGTACTTCAATTCAACTTTAAATCCAGCTATCTACACAGTATTTTCACCAGAATTTCGAAGTGCTTTTAAGAAATTACTTTGCCGAAGACGGAGAGCTGTAGGTAGAAGGATGGGTGTGAGACACTATATGTAGGATTGGGTGTAGGGTGGAGGTAATAGCTCTCGCGTGCTTTACAGATCCGATGCTCCCAGTGTTAAATTTGCTTTAACTCACTCAACAATTGTTTTTTAACTTACCGCTTGAATTTTTCACCATCAATCCAAGTCAACAGTCAATAATAACCCAGCTTTTCAATTAAACCTAAAAAGCAATAGGATATGGACTATTTTTATTAAAAAAAAAAAAAAAAATAAATAATAAATATACAGTATTTTTATAAAATAAAATATTAATAATTTAATAATATAAACTATTGAAGAACAACGAGCGTCTGTAAGTCACGTGATGGAGCTATAGTATGTGCAGTACAAACTGTTGCACAAAATTAGTGGCTTCCCACCCTACCCTTAGAATATATAAGCACAAAGTATACATTAGGGTGGCGCAAAAAAACCGACTATTTTTTTTTTTTTTGAGTCTCGAGTGAAAAAATGTTTGTTTTTGATGTTTTAAGAGCCCTCACCAAAGGACAGCTCAAAAAAAAAGTTTTTAAGAGGTCCAAATTTTTCAAAATTTCAAAAATCGTCAAAAATCATAAAATTTTTTTTTTAATTTTTTTTCTCGTTACGGTATAATTTTATAGACCAAAAAAAAATAAGTTTCTGAAAGTTTCAGTTCAAAATTTAAATTTTGAAAGGTCGCTCATAATTTTTTTTATTTTTCGTTAATTAGTCAAATCGCCGACTTTAAGTGTTGGGAGTGGTACGCTGGGGTCTTTTTGGTTTGAAAAAATCTTAAATTACGCGGCAAGGTCAAATCTCAACCAAGAGGGTTTCTAAGACCAGCTTGGGATTCGAACTCACGCCGGGCAGTTGATTAAATAAAATTATTAAATTAAAAAAAAATTACATTTTCTATGTTGTGCTTGATTTTTAGTTCATCTCGAGATGTATTCTTATCGATTATTGTACGAAATAAAAAAAAAAAAATGTATGGAATTTTAATTTGAATAGTAAAAGGTCACTCGAAAAAATCTAAACTAATGCACTAACAAATTGAAAAAAATTATGAGCGACCCTTCAAAATTCGAATTTTGAACTGAAATTTTCAGAAACTCAGAAAAGGTCGCTCATAATTTTTTTCAATTTATTAGTGCATTAATTTAGATTTTTTCGAGCGACCTTTTACTATTCAAATTAAAATACCATGCATTTTTTTTTTTT